ATAACCATGCAGCTAAGGCATTTTATTAGATCAGTCAAAATAAACTAGACAGCCTTCAAGAAATCGTGTGACTATGGCCTATTCCTTAACCAAAGTTTGTCACTCCTTTTCCACCAACCTGATCTTTGAGACCCAAGCTCAATCCTAGTTGGCATTTTTTTTTTCTTTTTTCAACTACTGGTTCTTCAACTGGCAATCTTTAGCCTCCTTTCCCGTGCCAAATTCTTTTCACTGGGCCCCATCTCATGCTGCCACTTTACTGATTTGGAGTGGAACATTGAGCTTTAGAAGCCGCTGCAGGATTCCAGGTACAGTTGGAGTGGAGAAACGGATCTGTCTTAAACCTGTGCTGCATATATCCAAAGACCAGCCATCTGTCTAAAGAGACAGTCTCCCTCTGTTCCTTTTTCTTTATTTCTTTCTTTTGTAAGAAACAGGGTCTCTTTATGAAGCTTTGGCTGTTCTGTACTTGCTTTGTAGACCAGACTAGCCTTGAACTTACAGAGATCTGCCTGCCTCTGCCTCCCCGACCTCAGTTCCCTCTGTTTTCTAATTCAGCTCCTTGATGGATTCTGAAGATATTAGGGTGTGCTATGTTGCTTATTTGTTTCCTTTGTGATTGTTTACTTCCAAAAAGCTGCGACTCTCTAAGCATGGGTTTGTGACCTCTTCAGTGGCAGCAGGGAGCTAATCAGAAACACAAATTCTCAGGTCCCACTCTTGGCCTTCCTGGGAATCCCAAGGTGAATGAAGTCTGAGACCCAATCAGTAAATGGAAGCTTTGGGAATACAGGACTCCATCTGTGTTGTCCACAAATTGTATGCTGGCTAGTGGAGCCTAGATATGGAGAAAGGGCCTAGCAAGCATTTGATGGATGGAAGAGTGCTAATATACCTCAAGTTAAAACTCATGTGTAGACAGAAGGCTAAATGCAAGAAGTGAAACAAGCCAAGAGCCCCCAAACACAACCTTTACTCCATTTCTCAAAATCTTCAAAAACTATGCATAAAACATCTTTCTGCGTGCTACAAGCATTAAGAAAAACTTTGTGCACCTTTAAAACATCTGCTTCTCTATTTTCCCGTAAACTTTACAAGTTGGGCATACCTAAAAATATTTCTCATGTGAAAAGGTATCATCCTGTTATTTGTTTAGAACTGTAAAATTACCTACTCTGCCCAAGGCCAGATGTTTGAGATGTTGGATCCGTCACCTTCGTCCTTTCAGTTTCAAATTCTAGAATCCTATTACAAGGGGCAATATCAGAGAACACTCAGATGAGCTCTGTAGCTTTCCTGAGCTGCTGGAAGAGAGTGTTTGGGTCAGGATCCCTTATGAAGAAATGAAGAAAGTGAGCCTGGACTCCTGTGTCCCTTGCTAGGTGGGCCATGAGCTCAGTGGTAAGTCTGTAGAGCCCAGACCTCTGGAAATTTGATGATATATTTATTCATCCTCACATGGCATCAAGCATTTTTGTGCTCCATTCATACAAATCTCTGCCATTTCCTTACCAATAAGTTGTTGGGAGAGGACAATAAAAGGCAGATGTTCCAGTAACCTCTTGGGGTCATCACAGCTGGCAACACTGAAGAGCTTGTGGGAGGGAAGGGATGAGGAGAGGAGGTAATCAGTTCATCTTTGCCTCTGAATTCTGGGGCAAAGAAACACAAAGCCAGGTATCCACTATTTCAGAATCTCATCCCAGGGACACCAGAGATATTTTCCTGGAGCTAGTACTCTGAAAACAGGGAAATTTGTGGTGGTCATGACAGAAGCAGGTGTGGCTACTGGTTTCTTGTTCTGATTAAGAATGATCACCTTTGTGAAGAAGTTTTCTCAACTCCAGGAGGCAGACCTGGGTTCCCCCACCCGTCCACCATGGAACTGTTTTCTAGAATGTTGCAAAATGTAGAAAATTCCAGGCTTTGAGGACGAAAAGATTTGTGTTCATATCCCAAATCCAATATTTAATAGTTGTGTGGCTGTGAGTGGATTATCTACTTACTTTCTGAGACTTAGTTCTCCTAGTTATCAAATGCTCAATGGCAGTAACATGGTTTAGAGTGAAAAATGCATCCCGTAACTTATAGGCTTGAACATGTGGTTCTCACTGGTGGAGTGGTTCTAGGCTGTTATGGTACCTTTAGGAGGTACGGCCTAGCTGGAGGAAGTGGGTTACTGGTGTGTGTGCGTGTGGGTAGGTCTTATGGGTTACACACCAGCTCCAACTCCAACCAGAGTGTTTTTGCTTCCTGATCTACTGAGATATGATTAACAGCCTCACACTGCTGTTGCCAGGAACAAGAGCTGGTCCTACTACCAAATCTTCTCCTTCATAATGGACTACATTCCCTTAAATGATGGTCCAAAGTAAGCCCAACTTCCTTTAAGTTGTTTCTTAGCACAGTGACAAGGGAAACAACAAATACAGGCAGCCGATGTCTTTAAGAGTTATTACACAATTTAATAACTGTGTCTCTGCCTCACCAGTTCTAACTACCAACATCGCTTTCTCCTTGGGATCCTAGGAAATGTCTATATCTGCTTAAGAAGCTATGTATTGGGGGCTGGAAGGAAGGAGACCAGCTATGTCTGCTATGTGCCTTTGTCTCGATAGCTGTTTTGTAATTGCACCTCTCTGTGTTCATCAGTCCAGTTGGAAAATCCCTACCCACGCCATCACTAGATGGAGAAACAAGCCTGGAAGTTTAGAGATATGAAAAAGCAGAAGAATGGGAAATGAAGTAAATCTATAAGGAAGAGCAAATGCACATTTTCAGAGTATACTATCTTATCTCTCAAGGAGAATGTTAGAGTCTGACTGTTATAGTCTGTCAAAGGTAATGCTGTGGAGAGATCAAAAGTATGATCTTGATAATCTGCAAAGACAGGTGTGTATATACAAACGTCGGCATGAACATGCAACCTTGCAGCGGGCTTTACTTACTACGCCACTGTCAGGAGCAAAACTTTAAATGTATCCTCAAGAAAAGAATTGGTACTGGAAATCTTAAAGAAGTGTGTTGGGTTTTTTTTTTTTTCTCCACTTGGCCATTTTCTGATAGTTTTGTCAATAGAAAATCATCAATAATATGGCAATCTTTTCTGCATCACAGTAAGGAAAAAGGGGAAAATGACACAAAAATAACTGAAATGTCCAATTGTGATATCCTAAAGGAAGAGAGAGGAAAATAGAAATAATAGGGAAAAATACCAGACATCTCCACCCCTATGAAAATGATTAGGATAAATTACGGAACAGTACATAATTGTGTAAAATGTCTATCACTAAAAAAAGATACTATAACTTAGATATTAGTGAAGTTATTTTAAATTAAAACACAATGAGGAATAGCTTTATACACTATAATAGCACAGAAAATTATACTTATAAATTGTGTATTTAAACAGATGAAATTCTAGAATATACACAAACTTACAGATTTCCCTTAGGACTATAGACTTCTTTATTGTTTCATTCATACACTTTTAAGAAGCTCTTTAATTAATAGGTGTTACTTTTACAGTAAGAAAATGACAATTCTGGAGAAATAGCTAGTCAGTTAAGTTTTCCCCCCCTCTCCCTAGTTGTCACGTTGCTTCCGTTAGACGTTCACAGTCTGTAGCTTTGTAAACCAGAGTACCTGCCTTTAGTTTTGAAGAAGGTATCAGTGACCAAATAAAGCTCTTTTCTAAGAATCTTAGACCCAAAGGCTCAGCACGGAGAGACTGCAGGACTGATAAGTGACACCAGCTATCTTAGCCGCTGGGAGGGCTGGGTGCCACCATTTCCTCAGTTTGAACTCCCCTCCCCTATGACTCTGCAACTCTCACCCCATCTCTCTTCCTGCTCACTCTTTCCTCCAGTGAAAGGTTATATTCTCTGACCTCTGCAGTTGGTGCTTCAAAAACTTCTGGATGAACCCTTTGCTTTCCCCAGTTACAACAAATATGGGCATCTTGTTCTCAGAATCTGTCTTCCCAGTGGGTACCACCAAAGGAAGTAACTGTCTCTGTATCAAGAGAAAGAATGGCACATTCCCAGTTCTTGGGTGGTGGGTGATAGGTGGTAGGCAGAGATGGTTATAAGGTTAGAAAATAAAGGCTCTCTTTAGGGGCACAGTGGCACACACTTGTAATCCCAGCTCTTGGGGAGACAGATCAGGTGGATCACTATTAGCTCAAGGTTAGCCTAGGCTACAAAGTGAGTCCAGGACAGCCAAAGATACACAGAGAAGCCTTGTCTCAACAAACAAACAAACAAACAAACAAACAAACAAACAAACAAATGGCTCTTTCCTGAATCAGTGAGCAAAATCCCACACAGTTTGGGGAAGTTAATTTTTTATAGGTAAATAATGGGAAAACTGTGACGCAGAATGTAAGTATTGTGGCTTGGCTGCATTCTACGTTAAGCTAGTTTTTGTGGTACACCTGGGAACCCACTCACTATTTTAATGTGCTCCAAATAATGGCTTTCCATTAACTTTGGGAAAGCAGCCTGTCCCTAAGGTTTGATTTACTTGAATTTTGTATTCTTTGCTTAATTAAAATAGTGAAATGCATTTTCAAACAAAATAATTCCTGTTCCAAAATCCCCTATGTTTCCAAATGGCACCCCTCAGCAGTAATACTGTCCAACGTACACCGCAGGAATCTTTGTCTGAGACCTAAAGTTCTCAGCCAGGAACTGCGACAATGGTACTACTCTGTCACACAGCTCTCCTCAGCGTCAAGGAGAAAGAATTCAACTTTTCTTTCTGTGAGACAGACAGATACCTTCCGCCCTTATGACAGCTAGAATCAGAAAAGGGAACCCCTGAAGCCTCGATCTCAAAGGGCATAACAGGCACAGCAGCTTCCTCAACACAAGGACACAGTGGGCAAGTGACAATTCCAAACGCAGTGAGAACTCGGGCGTCAGCCTCCCTCTGCCCCAGTACAGGAGGTCAGCATGTTTCCCAGGAGACCATAGAGAGGCATGAAATCTCTGACTTACCATGTTTATTGGAAAGAGGCGACACGCCTGGCACTCTGTGACCCTGCAGATGCTGTGACTCCGGCAGTGAATGTGCAAGTTAGCTGTGAAGAGCGTACTTCCTTTTTCTGAGCAGTGTGGTCTAAGTAGCCTTCACACATTGATAGGGAAGGCTCTATTTGCATTTTATCTCAGTTCAGGAACATTCTATGACTGGCCACGTTTCCCTTTGTCATAGTTAGTAACACAGAGAAGGGGTAGATGAAGCTTTGAGGTCTGAAATATTAACATCAAGTTTAAAAAGTGTCTGGATACTAAATTCTCATTGTTACTAACCTGATTTTATTTAAAAATTCCTATTTTTGGACATATGTGAATGTATATATCTTTATTATCTATCTACCTTCATCTGTTTGTTTATGTATCTATCTGTCATCCATTGACTATCTACCAATCATCCATCTAGCCATCCATATTTATCAATTTATTATCTATCTCTCCATACATATCCATCTGTCTGTCCGTTCGTCTGTCCATCTATCATCCATCTATGGTACACATTAAAATGTTAACAATGACTGGCTTGGCTGGACAATAACAAGTAATTTTTGCTTTTGTACAACTCTGTTCTTCAAGTTTTCAAACCTGAATACATACCACTTCAATAAAAAATGACCATAAAATTACAAAGAATAAAATGTTTTTTAGTTTTTTTTAGTTCTTTATATATTCTGTATATTAGCCCTCTGTCAGATGTAGGGTTGGTGAAGATCCTTTCCCAGTCTGTAGGCTGTCCTTTTGTTCTGATGACAGTGTCCTTTGCTTTACAGAAGCTTTTCAGTTTCATGAGGTCCCATTTATTGATTGTTGCTCTTAGAGCCTGTGCTATTGGTGTCCTGTTCAGGAAGTTGTCTTCTGTGCCAATGAGTTCTAGGTTCTTCTCCACTTTTTCTTCTAAGAGGTTTAGTGTGTCTGGTTTTATGTTGAGGTCACTGATCCACTTGGACTTTAGTTTTGTGCAGGATGATAAATATGGATCTATTTGCATTTTTCTACATGTACACATCCAGTTAGACCAGCACTATTTGTTGAAGATGCTGTCTTTTTTCCATTGTATGGTTTTGGCTTCTTTGCCAAAAATCAAGTGTCCATAGGTGTGTGGGTTTATTTATGGGTCTTTTATTCAGTTTCATTGATCCTCCTTTCTGTTTCTATGCCAATACCATGCAGTTTTTATTACTATTGCTCTGTAGTACAGCTTGAGGTCAGGGATGGAGATACCTCCCGATGATCTGTTGTTCTACAGGATCGTTTTAGCAATTCTGGGTTTTTTGTTTTTCCATATGAAGTTGAGAATTTTTCTTTCAAGTTCTATAAAGAATTGTGTTAGTATTTTGATGGGAATTGTGTTGAATCTGTAGATTGCTTTTTGCAGGATGGCCATTTTCACAATGTAAATCCCACAAAAGCAACAAATCAAGGAATACAATTAAAAATGGGGTACAGAGGGCTGGAGAGATGGCTCAGAGGTTAAGAGCACTGGCTGCTCTTCCAGAGGTCCTGAGTTTAATTCCCAGCAACCACATGGTAGCTCACAACCATCTATAATGAGATATGATGCCCTCTTCTGGCATGCAGGTGTACATGCAGAAAGAGCACTCATATACATAAAATAAATAAATTTAAAAACTGGGGTACAGAGCTAAACAGAGAGTTCTTTGTAGAGGAATATAGAATGGCAGAGAAACACTTAAGGAAATGCTCAATGTCCTTAGTCATCAGGGAAATGCAAATCAAAATGATCCTGAGATACCACCTTACACCCATCAAGAATGGCTAAGATCAAGACTCAAGTGACAACACTAGCTGGAGAGGATGTGGAGGAAGGGGAACCCTCCTCCACTGCTGGTGGGAATGTAAATTTACACAACCACTTTGGAAATTAATCTGGCACTTTCGCAGACAATTAGGAATAGCGCTTTCTCAAGATCCAGCTACACCTCTCCTAGGCATATATCCAAATATGCTCAAGTACACAACAAAGACATTTGTTCAACCATATTCATATTCATAGCAGCTTTATTTATAGTAGCCACAACCTGGAAACAACCCAACGGAGGAGTGGATACAAAAATTGTGGTACATTTACACAGTGGAATACTACTCAGCAATTAAAAACAAGGAAATCAAGAAATTTGCAGGGAAATGGTGGGATCTAGAAAAGATTATTCTGAGTGAGGTATCCCAGAAGCAGAAAGACACACACATGATATATACTCACTTATAAGTGGATATTAGACATATAATATAGGATAAATATACTAAAATCTGTATATCTAAAGAAGCTAAGCAAGAAGGAGGACACTGGGTAAGATGATCAATCCTCACTCAGAAAGACAAACAGGATGGACATTGGAAGAAGGAGAAAACAGGAAACAGAACAGACGCCTATCCACAGAGGGCCTCTGAAAGACTCTATCCACCAGTGTATCAAAGCAGATGCTGAGACTCATAGCCAAACTTTGGGCAGAGTGCAGGGAATCTTAGGAAAGAAGTGGGAAACAATAAGATCTGGAGAGGACAGGAACTTCACAAGGAGAGCAACAGAAACAACATATCTGGGCACAGGGTTTTTTTTCTGAGATTGATGCTCCAACCAAGGACCATTCATGGAGATAACCTAGAACCCCTCTCAGATGTAGCCCATGGCAGCTCAATCTCCAAGTGGGTTCCTTATTAAGGAGAACAGGGACCGTCTCTGACATGAACTCAGTAGCTGGCTCTTTGATCACCTTCCCCTGAGGGAGGAGCAGCCTTACCAGGCCACAGAGGAAGACAATGCAACCAGTCCTGATGAGACCTGACAAGCTAGGGTCAGATGGAAGAGGGGGACCTCCCCTATCAGTGAACTTGGAGAAGGGCAGGGAGGAGATTAGAAAGAGAGGGTGGGATAGGGAGGGGATGTGGGAGGGGGCAACAGCTGGGATACAAAGTGAGGAAACTGTAATTAATGTAAAAAATTAAAAATTTAATAAAAAAGAATAAAAGTATCCAGAACATTTAATCAATCACTTTAAATATATTAAAACATATGCCATGGAATTTAAATGGCAGCAATATTCATTAAGTTTATCACAGAATGCCATTCATTTTATTCAGAAAACACAGTCAATGTTAAGCTAAGTGATTTATTTGTTAATTGTAAAGTAATGCCTGTTAGTGTCAAATGCTTCCTTCTCTTACCTTGCTAACTACATATATTCTGAACTAGCTATAGTTCAGGAGATTTTTTTCCTCTTTTGCAATCAGCCACCCTAAATACATGCTGATACATAACTTAGCTCTTTTATTTTGAGTGTAGAACTTTCTACAAATTCTATAAATGATCTTCAAGGCCAAAGATCATCCTCGATTCCATAGCAAAAGAAAGGTAGCTGAATCCTGAGCTCTAGGCTACTGGTTTCTAGCTCTTCTTTAGGTTCTAGGATGATTATTCAGTATAGGGTCACCAAGTTTCTTCACTAGACACCGAGCCAAGTTTAGTCACTACTGTGTCCATACTAAATAAAGCCTTAAACAAAAATATGTTCCTTGTCAGTTCTTTCTTAATATGAAAATACATCTAAGAACCAATGATTAGAAATATTGATAGCATCATTTCTAGAGCAAGGGAGCAAGGTTATGGCAGGGAAGCCAGGTCTGGAGATGGAATGGAGTCTGGTGATTGCCCTAAAAGCTTTAGGCTTTGTAAAGTTGGGCGGGGCCTAAGGCGTGGTACTAATCTTGGAGGGTGGTCAGCAACTAGAAAGTGCACAGCTTCTGACGCCCAATGAACAACCAGTGAATGGGAGGACTCAGGACAAGGCAGGCTGTGGAAAGCTTCTAGATAGGGCACATTTGGACCTGGAGACAGTGGGATGGAACCACTGGTAACAATTTGTTGGACTTATCACAGTTAGGGTTGAAAATCATGGTTCCAAGCTAGGCTGTGCCCCAGGCTCACTTGGAAAGCTTTTAAAACATGCCACTATGGGACCTTCACCTCAGCCTCTAACCTAGGCTCTGCTGGGTCAAAACCTGAGTATCAAGACTTGTTGAAACCTCCCAGGGGAGTCCAATGTTTTTGAAGGCGTTTCTCCCATGTGCAACAAGAAGGCTTATTCTTAGCCCCACATTCTCTTCATACAAGTTACATGGTAATCAGAAATTCAGCAATTACTTGTTAAAAGTGTAGCCAATTAGACAAGCCTCTGGGTGTGGGAACTTGCAGTGTCGTTTTTAAGTCATCTGAATTCCATTCTGTGCTTATCTGTAAATGCAGGTTGAGGTAAATTTTTGTTGCTGCTGAAGTTTTAAGGAAGACACGTTGGCAGAGTCAGGAAAGGCAAAGGGTTGTTTTTCCCAGCTCTAACAATTCAGTATGTTTTTATTTATTTATTTATTTATTTTTTTGGAACTTTAGAAGGTATGTGAAGCATTATACCTGGCAATGATGGGAGATGTAACAGCTGTATTTTCTGTGAAGTTAGTTAAATCCATCGGACCCTAAGTGACGTGATGAGACAGGAAATGCACCAGAGATGTGTGTCAGTGTCATGGTGTCATCTTCAAAAGATAAAATTGCATTCTCTCAGCCTGAGCTCTGAAATAGTTCCTCCTCCCTGCAGGGAGGAGTTGGCCAAGGAATGCAAAATGCTGATAATTCTTCAAACAGTGGGTACATGTTCTCTTTTCCTATTTGCATTGCAGGAAATAATTTTCTTTTGCTCAGGCAAAGGAGAAATAAACCTGCATCTCTAGTGGTCGCTATAGTGCCTACATAGAAATGGTGAGGCCCTGAGACACGGAGCTATCAAAGGAAACCAACAATGTAAAAGAAAAAAAAAAGTGAATTTACAAGTAGATGAAGGAGAGGGCGGTCACAAAATTTAAGTAACACCAGTGACCATGTTTTTAAAGCATTGCTAATGTTTTATCAATTATGTCATCAAAGGAGCGTGGTTGACAACACATAGAAGATTGGGGAAAGTTATAATTTCTGATAGCATTTTTTCTTTATGACCTGAGTGACTAGCATT